ATGTCATTCAAGAAGCCGCAAACGCAATGCATTTATGGCTTTAGGATCGACAAGAAAGCGTGACAAACAAGTCAGGATTGTGTTACGATACGAAGTAGTGCGAGAGAATGAAATCCTAACTTTTTAGCGTATGTGTGTCACAGCTAAGGTTTGTGAAAGAGCATTATGTAGCGGATGAAAACGGTCACGAATGACCTTAAAAGAAAATTCATGCAGGCCTCGAAATGCTTACGAACAATAAAATCAACAATGGAATCTCTAGGCAAGCCACCACATCTGGAAGTATGTTTAATCGATCACACAATCAAAACATAGTTCTTTTTCAGTAGTTCAGGGAAAATTACTGGGGAACGGTACAGTTACACATCTCAGAATTAAACTTGGCGGTACAGAGAACCTTGTGAAAATTTTCCAAAATGTGCATTGACCAAGAGAGGTTTCGGAAAAATTAGACACCGCGATAGTTAACAGTGGAAAAAGGCATGGTTTTGTCCTCCAAATTTAATATGGGAGAGACATCTAATATTACACGCAATTTATCGGGGCCTAAAAATGAAAATGTTGCATCAGTACATATCAAAGCATTAAGGTCAATGGACCTGTTTGATGGCCAGCTCACAAATTCGTCTAAACCACATTGAAGCATCAGTGGAGGGAACTCTGCACCCCAAGACAACATCGTCCGCATATTTACATCCAATGAATGTTGATGGTGTGGAGAGAATTTCGACATTTAAAAAGCACAAAAAGGATGAAAGAATCACGCTCTGCAAAACGCCACAGTCGGCAAGGAGCATAGAGGAGCTTTTGCCGTTTAACTAACTGGGTAAAGTGCGTACGTTCAGTGAAATACTCACCAATATGTTGCGAACACCGGGGTGGACTCCGTTCAAATTAACTTGGTTAAGCGGAACTAAACGGTCAAGACTCCCGAACTCATTTGAATAGTCAAGAACAAGAAGCCGTATGGACCCGCACTTTCCATCCAACGCAGAAGCTATTACTTCCACAAGCTACGAAACTGCATCTAGCGTAGAGCGCTAGGGTCTGAACGCAAATTGGTAGACATCATCAGCACGAGTGGCTATGAAACTCCTTGGAAATAGTAGCTTTTGAAGGACTTTTAAGCACACGGATATACACACAATTGATCGAAAACGTTTCAGCTTACTTTTTAGGAATTGGCGTTATTCTGATTGACCTCTAGATATCGGAGATGGCACCGGTCGTGAGACACTTGTTAAAAAATATCAGTTATGTATAATGTAAGGGAATCAGTTCACACCTTCAAAACCACAGATAGCAAACCATCAGGGCCACTAGCTTTATTTGAATTTAACTTCTTAAGTCCTCTGTTGACGTCTCCTTGGTCGAATAGGGCGGCTGGGCTTGAGCTAGTGGAGAAGGGTAATGGAAAGGCGTTCGACGGGGACGAAATAAAATATGAATTGTATTTATCAACATCCACTGTTCCAGTACAACCGATGGTACATTTACCATGGATTTGCGTCAACAGTCTCCAGAGATCCCAGCAGTTACGGTTTCCCAGTACTGATTTAACATATAGCCTGTTCAGTATTGTTATTTCAGCTTTAATTACTTATGACGCGGGTGATCATTTTGAGCTTATAAGCACGTTCTTTTTTCCTTCGAAGTTGTTTCAACGGTGGGTGAAAAAATCATTCTGCTCAATAGGACAGTGTAGTTGGAAAAGTTAACGGAACTCGCGCGATGATCGCAATGAAGCGATAACTCTTAGTTGGAAAAAGCGTTGCGTCAAGTCGTGCGATATTTTTCACTTAACAATTACGTCGTCGGATGGTCCTGAATTGTCGTTTCGTATGTGAGGCATTGTTGATTTGACTGTAGATGACGGCAAATCTTTAGAGTACAATGGTCCTAGTTACTTAGTGGTGCACGCTTTTGAATGGAAAACAGGAATTTCGTTTGTGTAAGCAATATCAAGCTGTATCTTGTCTGGTCGGGAAAGTTACTTAATTTACATGACCAAGTGACTTACAGAACGTTGTCACATTTATTAAGATCACTGATAACAATGCAGGCGAGCATTTTGGTTTCGGCAGCAATACCAAAAAAGTTGTCCAACCAAAAGCCTCAGTTCGGACGATGGTGTGTCCTGGGCAATGTAGAAGTTTCCGATAACAACGGATTGAAATTCACTGCGAAATTTAGGCTTGTATTCAAGTGAATGACAGCTTGTAGAGTGAGTAAATTGTTGATTGACTCAGTTGCACCAAAGTTGGCTAACGTACATAGTGACGCCGCCATAACGATTCCTTGGCCTATCTGGGTGATCTGACCTAATTGCACGGTATCCACTGATGTTTATGACACCATCTTCAATGTCGGTGTGTGACCATATTCATTGTAACCTAATAATACCTATGTTTGCCTATTGTTATATAAGAGCTGTGAGGTCAATGCTTTTTCCTAGCAATGAACACGCATTGCTAGAGTGCATGAGTGGTAGTTGCATTTTCTCCAGAGGACATCGTCTGAGGCCAACTTTCCAAACGACGTGATGTTTCCTCGTGTTGCCAGAATGTTTTCTCACGATCCGTTTGACATTGTTCCTGGCTTTATGACCGTAATCGACAAAAGGCTTTTTACGTGCCGCACTTCGAAATGATTTCAAAAAATCGGCGGAGTTGGATAACCTTGGTAGCTGGGATGTAGTTCAGTTAAACAAAACTGGTAAAGTAAAACAACAAAAGTTTTAGGTCCGCAGTATATAGCGTAAAATAAACCAGGTCTTAAGGGGCAACAGCAACGACCAGTTTGAAGCCCCCGCCAAACCAACGTTCACCATGTAAACCTTATGGATCCATACCTCTGTATGTTGACCTCTGGTTCAATTCCTTTATTGGTCAACTTATGGAGGTTTTACTATACTTTCTGCTCAACGATAGTCGGCGGCTGGGCTATCTTTACACCTTAGTCCCGAACATGTGAAGGTCACTTCATTTGGTTGCATTAGTTTTATAACGTGACTTGGAGTACCCGCTACTTATGCGGACCACACATGCAATCTAAGGAAAACTTCGGTGATTTCCTTTACTAATCTGCAGCTGAAATATATGGATTTTTGCCGTATACACTGATGTTGACATTTCGTGTACGGATAGCCGGAGGTCAATTCGAACCAGCAATACAAAGGCCACTCCCCAGATAACATTTTCTGCATCCGTTAGAATCCGTTCTAGATTTTTCGACCTACGCGCGTTCGACTCGAAACTCCGGATTCTTTACATATCACTTTACGAGATGCGAAAATTGGTAACGTGAACAAGAATGATAAACAAAGTGCACCTCACCTCTCTGCTTCGAGCATGATCTCTGTGATCACCGGCCGTTACTTACTTCACAGCGAATCATGGTGCAACTCGTGATTATTCGCAGTCTGCTCACACAGTCCCTGCTGCAGGTGCGGATATACACGCGTAATCGTTTTAATTAACCTATCACTCGAAACTTCATAATCCGATGCTGTATCTGCCAGGTGACAATCTTCCAGGTTCGACTCCCAACTCTATCTATCTCCGTCTGAAGCGTTCAAACGTGGACGAAATCAGTCGTGGTGCGTAATGTCGCACCATCTGAGCAAGACATCTTTATTACCACCATTTTCTCGCCTATGTGGTGGTCAGTTTATCACCACTACTCACGCAATCAAATTTTCCGCTGTTTTACCTCCTATCCTCCGTTGTTTTTCTTTCAATCAACCCCTTATCCCTGCTCCCTTAGCTCACCTCAGCCTTCCGGCCGCTACGAGTACCTTGACTTCTGAACCTAGTGGAACCGACGATTTGGGCGAACCTGGGGTGAGTTCATTTGTCCCCTCATTTTTTCAACCAGCGGTTTAAGTTAGTGCTTCGGAACGAGTTAACACTCACTTCTTAACACATCTTGAATATACTGATATTCGTGAACTGAAGGAGTGCAGGAATCTTTGTTAGTGGCAATCAGTCTGCCTCATCGATGCCCTCTACCAGCCGTAATGCTATTTGGTTTACACTGGGGGGTATATGGGTTTTAGATCGGCCAATGAAAGCGTCAGCAGCGCTCTGACTTCTATAACTCGTTTTCATCCACATTGTCTGCGACAGTTTTACTGTTCCTTCTCACACACACTCCGTGTCGTTATTCCTTTCTTACTACGTCTGTTAGTCCTTCTCCGTCGAACGTGCTCAAGTGTAATCAAGTGGGAATAAGTCTCACTTTTTGGTACATGCACTCACAACACTTTTACCACTGGCGTAATGTAAGGAGATCAGCCAATACCATAGTATCGAAAAAGTCAACTACAGAGCGCGTGCAACAGTCGCTCAACCATGCGATCACGCAGTACAGTAGTTAGCAATGCTTGTAATACTCAAAATTTCACTCATATATCAATTGATAGTGGTTATTCTAGCAATAGTCGGGTGGAAGGGCATTTAGTTCCACACTTGAAAATATTTATTGACGATAAAACCTACGAGAGTATCTCTTGATAATCCACCACTTCTAAGAATATACTTTTTCGACCACGTAGTCGAGCTGTAACACTCTTGGAAGAGCCTATTTGTAACCCTAGAGCAAATTATTTTTGTGAGGTCAGTAGCAAACGCTCACTAGCTTAAAGTTTTACTTTTGTAATGTCGAAAGCATTCTATGTTCGTGAAAAGTGAATTCTTCCGACATTTTCTCTCCAGCACATATATACCAGGTTCAATCTTCAAAAGGTCATCTGGTACTACTTTGCCCTGCATGGACTAAGTTTACTTCGGCCACTTGATATCTCGTCCTCCACTCGTGTGTGTTTACTTCGAGAATACCTTATCTTTCCCGATCCGTGAGGACTTCGTTGTGATGGGAGTTATTTTCTTTCTTGAGATAAACTTACATCACCAATTTTTCGGTTTACCATTGTGGTCGTATGCGTTTTATAGTGTTATCTTTCACTGGTGTCGCTTTGTACTTTTATTTCCTTATACCAGGAACAGCGTAAAAAGTCAAAGAAGCGTTTCATGCTCTTCTCGCTGTCTCGCTCGAAGCGTAAGGGCAAGAAGAGTAGTTCGTGAGCGAAAACCGCTGGAATGCTCCAATTGCTGCGCAGCATTGTACTGGAATTTCAACTCGATTCTCCCGTGATCGTGCTTCTCGGATTCTTTTGCGGCGGTAACTGGCTGTGTCCTTGGCTATCTGCAATCGCCCCTTTGCCAGCGGTTTTTCAGTCCTGTCTAATATTTTTTGCTTGTAAACCGCTTTCATTTGCAGCCTGTTCCTCCTTATTGCTTATCTGCCGCCCACTCATTGCCTTTTGTCAAATGCTTGTTGCTTAAAGAGGCGTTTGTAAACCCACTGCTTTCCACCACATCCTTTTTTTGATTCACTATTCATGCCTCCCCCGGTTTCATACTACTTCTGTCTGACCACCAATTTCATGCCCCCAGGTAGACAACTACTTGTCGCTAATACCGAGGCTTCTTCCCCTTCTGCGTCGAATGAACTTTGACAGCTGATAGTATTTCATGCGTGTCCAGTATCCCCGTATTATGTGTATTTTCTTCCGTTCACTTTCGTTTCACCTCCGTGTCCAAAGTGTATTGCGTTACCTGTTATTTTTCTTTCCCATACCTCGGCGCCCGAACTACTTTTATTCTTCAGTTCTCCCCAGTGATTCTTCCACTCCAATCTCGTTTTGTTTTATCACCCTGTTTAACCGGAGCCGCGCTTTTGTGTTTCTCTTCCGGTCGCGGTCTGAGTTCATTTGCGATTTATTGGTTTTTCCGTGTCATGCTTCCCACATACGCCTGTCAGATCAGGATAGGATTTTACAACTGCGGCACCGTAATACCTTTTTTACTGGTCATCATTACCTAAGCAGACGTCTCCTAAATATTTCCCTTTCCATCCTTCAAAATCTACCTACTGCTGCATTTTTCGATTTATCAATCTGACTTGCAATTTGTTAGCGTTCTACTTCAGATCACCTCCACTTGAACAACACATGTTGCCTACAATTGTCTCAGTGTTTTAAGCTTTTCGAACGAATATGTATACCTATAGCAGTGAAAACTGGTAGCTCAGGTTGTTCAGATGGCTGTTGAACTGTGCGCTGAGCTTGGCAATTTTGTTGCAAACGTTTCGTCACCAATCGAGGTGACATCATCAGTGCGTAGTGGAGTGGCATGCAATAGCGTAGAGTAGCGTAGAGGAGCACTCTCACCGAGGCTCCTCTACGCTACTCTACGCTATTGCATGCCACTCCACTACGCACTGATGATGTCACCTCGATTGGTGACGAAACGTTTGCAACAAAATTGCCAAGCTCAGCGCACAGTTCAACAGCCATCTGAATATGTATACCCCACTTGTTGCGACACGACTGACTGTCACGGTCTCCTAGTTTCCTTCCAATATGTTGCCACTATTGACGATGCCACCACTCTGTGGAGTTTGTGCATTTCTTGATGATTCCTAGTTTTCATAGCAAACTTAGTAGGAATGGCTGCTATTAACCGTTTATGTGATACTTCGCCTATGGAGTTGAGTAATTCTATATATATATATATATATATATATATATATATATATATATATATATATATATATATATGGTTGGCGGCATCCGGTTTCGGATTTGCCTGTCACTGTTGCCAGTTATAGGACGCCCGCACCTACGGAGGGACCATGGATGGCTTGTGCTGCGCCACCCACAGCTCCATCCACACTCCCCCATATCCAGTGTAAACCCGAAGGAATAAGACCGGGAGGCATCTGGATGGGAGCCACGTTTCATCAACGGAACCGGCTCACACAAGCATGTTGTATTTGGGGGATCAAGGCAGTGGTTAAACCGTAGTTCGCTCCACACTGAGTGCATGGAACCACTCTTCGAGCCTGACATGGCCACAAGGACCGTGCGCCCCGTCCCCCCCCCCCCAGCAACGGCCAACTGTTTCCTGGAGCCAGTATGGACGAGCTAGTGGGTAGTAGACAGGTAGGCACCTTGTCAACATGCACATCAAGCGCAGCCACAGCGATAATGTCAAGCAGCAGCCAATCACTCGAAATGACATTGCCAACTAAAATATCTCGAATAAAGCATACCGATATGCCGGCATAACTATTCACTGAATAGGCATATTAAATAAATTGATAATCGACAAATCCTCGATATGTATAAAAAGGCGGAAAGTTGTTGAAAAAGGTCAAAAACACGAAAACGTCAACGAGGGTAATCACAGTTAGCTTTAGCGAATAGAGCATTGTTCAGGCATGCATTATAATTACGTAAAAAATAGGCATTAAAACAAGATGGTAAACCAACCACCAGAAATAAAGACTCAGTACGCAATCACGCGGTTAGTAAATCGAATTGAAGCGCATGCGGCATACCAACGTTTGCGCCGATTCTGTTTATGTTCTCGGTAGCCTCCGTCGTCGTTTTTTTACTGGTCCCGAGTGGACTCGTTTATGGCTCACTAGACCTACCGGACCCAGGCACTCGCGACCGCATGTGTTACAGCACCATACGCTCGACGTCGATGGAGGACACTCCATCGGCGCCTGTCCGCTTTTCCGCACTTCGGCAACTGCTTTCGTGATCAGATCGCGCCATGCACGCCGATTAACCGTTTTCGAGTCCTAACAACTTAAATCCACATTAGAACTTGTAGACTCTTTGATCACGTCGTAGTAACGAAGCTTCAGTTTACCCGCATGCCGTTTCCTCACGCTCAGCTGACCTTATAACAGCTGCTTCGGTGTCCGCGGCGAATATGCCTGAGCCACCTCAGGTGCCTCAGCAGAATTATCCAGTCCGCTGCATACATGCCACTGCGTCGGAGCACCTCCTTGTCTGCAGCTCGGACTCTCCAGCCGATGCGTTTAATACGGCGCAGACACTGCTGATGGAAGCGCTCCAGATAACGGACATACTTTCGATGAAGCGTCTAGGTTTCGCTGTCGTATGGAACAACAAACAGCACCATAGACTCGTATGCCAACAGCTTCTTCCCAACAGTGAGCTGATGGTTGTTTCACACAAGACATTCCAGCTTGCCAAATGCAGCAGCCGTCTTCGCTACGCGGCTCGCTCATCGTCTACATGTCGGCTGATATAACACGCCCAAGGTAGCAAAATCCTGGAGTTTCCAGCACTACGTCAGCAGCCTGGATTTCGTGGAGGCCCACAGATTCCATTCCGGGTGAAGGCTTGTAAAGACAAATAGTCTTGATTGCGTTGATGGTGAGCAAGCATTTGGCCGCTTTCAAGGCCAGAGCACTAGTCATGGGCTGTAACTCATCCTCACTGTGTGCAAACAACGCACAGTCGTCATTAAACAGCAATATGCGAATAGCTGTCTCACAGACTACAGTTCTCGCACCGAAACGACGGATGTTCAACAACCCACCATCAATACGGTGCTCCACACGAACACCGTAAGCACAAGTCGCATCAAAAGCACAAGACATTGCATGAAGATAAATATTAAACAGGGCAGGAGCTAAGACACAGCTTTGCTTCACATCAGAGACAACTGCAAAGTCATCCGAGGTCTCTCCACTCAGCTGCACCCTCGCTCGCATACCACTGTGCAGATATTCAATTAAATTTACAAGCTTATGCGGGCAACCATACTTACCCAACACCAGCCACAAGGTCTCGCGGTTCACCGTATCAAATGCCTTTGTGAAAGCAACAAAAAGCGAGTACAATGGCTGGTGTCGTTCTCTGCACTTCTCTTGCAACTGATGAGCTGCAAACACCATAACTATAGTGCTGCGACCCGAACGGATTCCACACTGCTCTTCCGCCACGTTCGGTTCCACAACTTGACTGACGAGGCGGCTGAACAGGATTCGGACAATCACCTTGCCCACATAACTCTGCAAGTTGATGCCACGATAATTCGTGCAACATTGCTTGCTTCCTTTGCTCCTGTACAGTGGTAGCACTAGATCATCCTTCAGCTCAGGAGGCACCTCCTCCTCAATACACAAGTGGTGCAGCGCAGTCACCAACGCGGGTCCGCCGTGTTTCAATACTTCAAGCGGGATCCCGTTGTCCCCGGCACACTTGCTGTTTTGCAGCTGAGCAAGTGTTCTCTGAGTCTCATCCACTGCAGGCGTATCGGCAAGACACGTCTTCATCTTTTTCTGTTGCAGCCCGTGCAACACAATTCTGTCAACCTTTTAACGGTTGTTCAAGAGACAATCATAGTGATTGCGTTAGATCTGCAGTTTGTGCAGGCAGCGCTTGAACTACCATTGAACAGCGTCCTCTACGGCTCCAACCTTGGTCCATACACCGCCTACAATGTGTCAAAAAATCGTGTTGGCGGCTTTCGGTGTAGCGTTCTATCTGCTTTTCCGTCCAGCATGCGTTTTGAATGCGACGGAGCTCTCGGGTCATTCGTCGTCAAATTCGCCCAATATTTCTCTTCTTCCCCAAGTCACTGGGGTCTGCCACATGTGCAGCAAATGCTGAAATCTTCTCAGGCACTAATGCGCCAATCGTCGCATTGTTCTCATCAGACCAATCGGGTCGCCTACAGTTTGCGCGCCTGATGGTCTCCTCGGCAGCAGCTGTCACCTGGTCGCAAATGTGGTGCCACAGATCGCCCAGTGTGGCTATGCATTCCATATCACACAGGCGTGCAGCCATCGCCTTCTCCAGCTCAATACTTTTCTCCACTGTACCGAGGGAGAGTATGTTTAATTTACGCCAATTCACGGCAGGAGTGCAATACATAGAGTTATGAAAATATATGTACAGTTTGGTCCGCACCAGTTTGTGATCACTGTAATGCGCACTTCACGCATATCACGCTGACGTACGATGACATATTCGAGCAGGTGAGCGTGACCACTCCGTACATGTGTCCAAGTTGCTATGTCACTCGCACTCAGTGCAAACCGAGTGTTTGTGATCGTCAAGCTCTGAGAGCAGCCTGTCACCGTTCGCATTCGCTGAACGAATGCCATGCGGACCGATGACATCTGTCCACACCGATGCATCACGCCCAAGGCGCGCGTTGAAATCACCTACCACAAATAGTCGGTCGCTCCTCGAGACAGACCGTAACCAGGGGGGGCGGGGTGGATAGCTGAATTCTGAATTTATCAAACCTGTCTTCAGGATAACGCATGGTCGTCGGACCGCACATGCATAGAAAGGTGGTAAACGTACCTCTTTCGAGTCGTAGGCGGAACAGTCATCAGTCGCGCGCCGATACCAGTGTGCTCACCCGCTAGCTGGCCATTCAGGCGATCGGATGATGCAACTTTGGTCCCATGTTCGCGTGGTGCTGAGGTGGCGTTGCCCACCCAGTGGAACCTATATCCAGCACCAGCTTAATGTAACTTACTGCTCAGCGAGCCGCAATGTCGATGTAGCGCTCCAGTTCCTTTGCGACCAGTGTAGTACGGCGTTCGGGACGCTCACTCATATTCCGGTCGAGCAAATTGCGCACGTTCCAGCACCCAATATTGAGTGCTGTGCGCTTGGGCATAAGATTGTGTTAGCGGGCAGCCGTATGGTTGGTGACATCCTGGATTGGAGGAAGTAGTGGGTTAGGTAAAACGGGAAGAGTATGTGCGTGGGAAGAAGAAAGATGGGATGCGTCAGTAGTAGCATGTTTTCGCTTATCCACCCCGTTTATGAAACAGATAAGGCGACTCGTTTCCTAGTGCCACTGCGCGACGGCTGGTGCAGCATGGATTGATTGTTATTGGCGTAATTCATGGTTAGGGGTCGGACTGGGGTACTGCCAGGGCGCCCGCATCTGACAGGAGAACGGCTTAGGTCCTCAGTCACAGCCTTCCATAAATACCCGAAAGGCAGCGGGCCTAGCGCCATGAGTCAGTGAACCGATTCACGCGGAATTGTGTTTTGGATCTTAGCAAGGAGAACGGTGTAACCCAATTTCCACTCAGCGGACGCCACTAAGAGGCACCCAGGACATAAGCACACAGCACAACTTTGGCAGCAGCGGGTTGACGATCTGTCAGCATCTCGCCACCACAATCCATATATATATGTATA